ACTTTTTCTATTTAAGGATTCACTATGATATTGTATGTATCCATTTATTTAGTATTACATTATATTTAATTAATACTATATACAATTATAAGTTTATAATTTTATGTAACATTATAAATATAATATTACTATAATTCTTAATAATTTTGGTTAGTCGTTCTTTTAATTTCCTTTCTTTATCAAAGGCTAAAGTTACTCTATTTGGGTTTCTCTTTTCCTTTTTGTTGATTTACTATAAAAAATATTAAACCTTCAAAGATGGTGCATTGGTGTTGGGTACTCGTTTGATAAAATTGAACCCTAATTGATAGAAATCCTAAATCTATGCTTAGTCTTTGCAAGGAGCTGTCTTTGCAAGGAGCTGTCTTCTTAATCCAAAAATTCTTAACGAAAATGTTATAATTATAATATCACATGGCATTATAAACTTATAATATGATGTGTTATTATATAATTAACTCTTTCTATTTAAGGATTCACTATGATATTGTATGTATCCATTTATTTAATAATACATTTATTTACCACATACAATTATAAGTTTATAATTTTATATAACATTATAAATATAATATTACTGTGATTCTTAATAATTTTGGTTAGTCGTTCTTTTAATTTCCTTTCTTTATCAAAGGCTAAAGTTATTTTGTTTGGGTTTTGTCTTTTCCTTTTTGTTGATTTACTATAAAAAATATTAAACCTTCAAAGACGGTGCATTGGTGTTGGGTACTCGTTTGATAAAATTGAACCCTAATTGATAGAAATCCTAAATCTATGGTTAGTCTTCGCAAGGAGTTGTCTTCTTAATCCAAAAATTCTTAATGAAAATGTTATAATTATAATATCACATGACTTTATAAACTTATAATATGGTGTATTATTATATAATTAACTCTTTCTATTTAAGTATTTACTATGATATTGTGTGTATTCATTTATTTAGTAATACATTATATTTAATTAATACCATATACAATTATAAGTTTATAATTTTATCTAGCATTATCAATATAATATTACTATAATTCTCAATAATTTTGGTTGGACATCCTCTTTCCTTTCTTTAATAAAGGCTAAAGTTACTTTGTTTCGGGTTTATCTTTTCCTTTTTTGTTGATTTACTATAAAAAATATTAAACCTTCAAAGATGGTGCATTGGTACTGGGTACTCGTTTGATAAAATTGAATCCTAGTTGATAGAAATCCTAAATCTATGGTTAGTCTTTGCAAGGACCTGTCTTTTCAATCCAAAAATTCTTAACGAAAATATTATAATTATAATATCACGTGACATTATAAACTTATAATATGATGTATTATTATATAATTAACTATTTTTATTTAAGGATTTACTATAATATTGTATATATCCATTTATTTAATACCACATAATTATAAGTTTATAATTTTATGTAACATTATAAATATAATATTACTGTAATTCTCAATAATTTTGGCTTGTCATTCTCTTTCCTTTCTTTATCAAAGGCTAAAGTTACTTTGTTTGGGTTTGTCTTTTCCTTTTTGTTGATTTACTATAAAAAATAATAAACCTTCAAAGATGGTGCATTAGTGC